TAGTTGATCCCATGTAAAAATTTTTAAATTATTTATAAAATACTTTAATTTAATTCGTATGTCTATTTGAAGAGCAACATAATAAAAATTTAATGTTATGATTGACATTTTAAAAACATTTAAATTTATTAATTTTTTAATTGTTAAAAAAATATTTAGCAAATTTTCTTTATTTCTGCTAATTGGGGCTATGACTAATGTTTTATTTTATTATATTATTAAAATCACAAATTAATAATATTTTAGAAAATCAACTATTACTTGTGTAACAATTAATGCTGACAATCTTACATAATATCATTTCCTCAACTCTATATTTCTTAAATTCATAATTTGGAAGTCAAATTTTTAATAATACGAGTATAAAACTTTAAAAAAAAAGCCTTTTCTCTTTTGCATTTTTTCAAGCAAAAAAAATGGATGAATTTAATTTTTTGCAATGGATGGTTTTCATTCGCCGCCTCATGTTATTAATTATTAATTGATTAAATTTATAATAATGTTTTGTAATAACAATTAAATTTGCTTTTTGGTTCCAATTTATTAAATTATATTATATTGTATAAATAAATTTAAAATCCAAAATATTTTACCAAATAAATTGTTTTCATGACAAACAAAAATATTTAAAAATAAATTAAACTCAATAATTATGAACTACTTTTCCTATTATTATGTATACTAACATTTTAATAATTATTATTAATTATTAACAAGAGCAGAAAGTAAAACATTAATTAAAGCGAGCATGTTTTGATCAAATAAATTTCGATCCAACGAATGGTTCGCAAACTACCGCTTTTCCTACATATATATGAAAAAGCGAACATACTTTTTTTAGAAACAATCTTTTGTCCAAAACTAATATTATACAAAGTATATTATATGAATATTGCATATCTTTAGATTCTTTCTAATAAGATTAGAACGAAAATCAAAAAAGCGTAATTTGACCATTTGAAAAAAACTTAGAATTCTTAAAATCGAAAATTAAAGTTTTTTGTTCTTATTTCACAAATTCATTTATTATTTTTTTGGAAACAGTTAAAATCTTAACATTTACAATTCAACATCCATAAGAAAAATGTTGTCAAAAATTGGAAATTAAGATAACGATTAAGGGGGAAACGTGGATATAATAGTATGAAAATTTTAGTTTTCTATCTTAAAGAATAGAAGTTTTGTAAACAGGAACGTGTTCAGACGGATGGACAACATTTTTTTTTTAACTTTAAGCTACTATGAATAAATAAAATAATCTTAAAAAAGTGTGATATATTTTAAAAAGCAAAGAATATTCATCGTAAAGTCAATGTAAAAACTAACATACAAAATTTTACATACATACGTTAGCTATATGATACAAAAAAATCATTTTATTAAAAATCCTAATATTATTTATTTTTATATAAAAAATTACAAATTCTTTATTTCTTCAAGAAATACCATAAAATTGTTAAATGGGAAAACTTATAATTATATGAAGGTTTTAGTAATGAACTTGATTCATTCTTAATAATTAATTATTAAAAGTCCTTCATAAAAAAAAAAGAAAATAATCAGAAAAAAAAAATCTACTAGAAATTTAGTACAATTTTAATAAATTTTATTAAAGTATTCCTCTAGTTAAAATCAATACATGATAATACAAGCAATCATTCTTAAAAAATGCTTTAGCCGTGTAGATAGTTAGTATTCTCGAGTAGTTATTAAAACATTAAAATTTATCGAAAATTAAATTACATACTTTTGGGAGGCACAAAGAAATATACAAAACTAATAATTAAATAAAAATAAAAAATATTATGTTGATTTTATAATAATGTATAATAAAAAAGCATTCATTTTGTAAAATGAAAGATTAAAATTTCAACAAAATTATTGGAATTTTTGTAGGTTCCGTTTCATATCAATTTAAAAATCATATATTAAAATAATAATATCCTTAAATTTAAAGCATATATACTTATGTACATATATGCATAATGTCAATTAGCAAATAACAAATGTATTGACAGAATATATGATAAAGTACAATTATATTTTAACCTGTTGTTATCATATATAAGTTCAATGACCAATATGATTCGATTAATATATTAAAATAATTATTATAATAGAGGTAGGCCATATAAAAATAATTTATTTTTCTTATTTATAATAGAACCATCATAAACTTTTATAAAGGTATATTTATATAAAATATTGATTTTAATATTGAATTACATCTATGTGTGTAGTAATGTTACAATGTTAAAAAGTTACAATACTTATAATATAGAAAAAAAAAGTGAAATGCATAAAAATTCGGTAGCGCTTTTAAAGAAAATTTGTGATATTTTGTTGAAATAAAAAAGGACATAAGTAATTATTAAAAAAAAAATTAATCTATATGGAATCTCATTATTGGAAAGTGTATTTAAAAAACAGTTCAAAGGAATGAATTTGTTAAAACTTATTGTATTTTATAATATTGTCAATCAAAGAATGGAATTAAAATTCAATATTAATTGAAATTTCAATTCATGTATAATGTAATTAATTATTACACATAAACAAGTAATAGTCAATTTAATTTACAACAGCTGTAATTATAAAATGTATGTATTTGAAATCTTAAATAAATTTTTATAATAATTAAAATTAATAAAAATTATAATATACATTAAATAATATAATAGTTTTAATAATTAAAACTTAAATTAATGTTTTCTATGTTTCTATACGCAAGTGTTTATTACCATTGTGTATGTAGTGATATACAGAAGACAATTATTGTAATTACACAATAAACTACTTTATTTGAGTGGCGCTAGTGATTTAAAATAGCGGTGTACAATGGTACGAGTATTACCAAAAGTTTATTCGTTTCGGTAATTAAACGGTTAAAATAAATATTAATTTTATTAATAATTATTTGTAATATTCCAATAATTAATAATATAAAAATTTATGTTTTAATCATACCACGAACATTTCTATATTACATATTAATATGTTACATTTAGATTATTTATAATATAGTTACATAGAAATCTTAAGGTTTTTGCATACTTAATTCATTCCCTATAATAATAATTTTAAATTGATTAAGATAAAAATATTTTTTAATCGAATTTCCTTTTAAACCAATCAATTTAATTTATTATAATTTTGATAATTACGTTGTCAATACATTAAAAGGTATGCAATATACATACATACATATACAGTATTTATTAAAGAATGTGTTATTTTTTTTTATTGTACACAGAGAAAAATATGTAATATTTTCAAAGTTTAAAATTAAAATTAAAATTTCTGAGTTAAAGCTGTTTTATTCATTGCAGTGACTCAGAGAAGAAATATAATGCGATGCGTAACTGTAAATTAAAGTCAAACTATTCCACATTGAAAAATTTTGCTTTATTTTTTTCCAGGCAATATTAAATAAACAACATGTTATACTTAAAATAAAATAAAAAACAGTTTTAGCTTCTAAAACTCACATTTTTAATAACATATTTTGTTTAATAAATTATATTTATTTTTCAAATTTTCCTTAAGCCAATTTTTATTAATTAACTGCAAATAGAGACAAAACCGAAAAAATTGTACTAATTTAAACAAAAATTTAAGTCATTTGTATGATCTATAAAATTCGCCTGATCCGTCAAGGTTTCTTTTTAGTTTCTATACTTGAAATCTGTATTTTTTTTGAAAATACATAAATGTATAGTTTTATTTTTAAAGTAAATTGAATAGACAACAAAGTTGCCTTATTTTGACTTGCTTTTGAATTTGAGCAGTCTCTTCATATTTTCAAACAATTAGTTTTAAAGACAAGTTTAATATGCAATTTCATATTGAAAATAACAAGAAGAGCTCCAGAACGACATTTTCTCTGTATAATTCTCTGTAAAACATTTTTTTTGTAAAAAAATTGGAATTATTTGGTTTCGATGGCCAACTACATACATCACTTCTTATATATTATACAATAAATAATGCCAACGTACATACATAGATACGTAATATTAAAAGTTATTTTGACATAATGTGATAAATATATAAATAATACTTACTAATAAATAATTACCACCAATTTCTATTTATAAAAATCAAAATTGAATTAAATTTATTATTTAGTGTGCTAGAGAACCAATGATTATTTTTGTATATACATACGTTATAGTAAGTTATATAAGTTTATTTCAAAAATGTTTTTTTTTTAAGTGAAGTGAAAAATTTTATATTCCAGTAAATTTATTTGTTTATTATTTTATTTAATAAAATAATTTGCACTTCTGTATGTATATGTACCTAAATGGTAAATCATCCGATTATAAAAAAAATAACCATTTGTATTCTAAATTGTCTAAATAACCAAATTAAAAATATAACCACGTAAATATTATGTAATAATATTTTTATTTGACTAATTAAAAATATTTATTAATTATTGTAATTTTATTGTATTGATTGTAATAAACTCCGAAGGATTCCATGTACTATAGTATATATTAACTGTATACTAACGCGTATCACATTTTTATATTTATAGGGATTTTTAGTTTGTTAATTTAAATGCATGTTAATTTTTAAATAAAAGTTCGAAAATTTTTATATAAATAATAATAATAATATAATATTATTTAATATTATTTTGCATAGATGTTCATTTCAATAATTATTTTCTGAAAATTAATTTTAAATTGATTAAATTCTATGTATGTATGAGTATAGAATAAAAAATAATTCCAAAACAATTTGTTAAGGAAAATTTTTAATTTTTTAACATGAATAAATTATTAAATAGTATAACAAAAATATATTTTCTTAATAAACTTTAATATATCCGATTTTATTTTTTTATATATTTCATTACATACCTACACATTTTAAAATATTTTACACGAATTTTTTTTTATTAAATCTATATTTGCATATGCGTTCGTATTTTTATTATAACACTGTTATATAATTTCAAATTTTTTAACATAATCTTCTTTTTTTTTTAGAAAGAAACAAAAAGAAGGAAAATTTATAATAAATTTGTAAAGGAGAACATAATGATTTGAATAGTTTGCGGATTCTAGTCCGCTTTATAAATTATATTTAGAAAAAATAATTTAAAAGTTGTGAATTATAAAAAAACAAAAAAATTTTATCCATTCGGAAATTAAATTGTATGTATAGCAGCCACGGGCAAAAAAAAACGGAAATATTATATAATAAATTCCAAAAAGTCAAACTCACCGATACAGGATGGGTAAAAAAAATAAAATCTTATTCAAATACAAAAAAAAAACCAAAAACAAAATTTAATATGGTTTTAGGTCTCGATTTTATGGACGATACTGCTGTTGATTATGAGAATGCCTTGGTACAAGCCGGTTTTGGAAAATTCCATTATTTACTTCTTACAATCAGTGGGATGATTTATTTAAATACAGCTATTGGTGTTACCATTTTATCATTTGTATTACCATCGGCAACATGTGATTTTCATATGTCATCAGTTGATAAAGGTTGGCTAAGTGCTTCACCAATGTTAGGAATGTTAATTGGCTCATATTTTTGGGGTTGTTTAGCTGATACAAAAGGAAGAAAAATTGTTTTAATTGCAACATTAATATTAGATGGTATTTGTGGTTTAATATCATCTATAGCTCCAGTTTATATAGTATTTTTAATATTAAGATTTTTTAATGGATTTGGGTAAGAAATATTTTATGTTTATACTTATGTTATTTTAAAATTAATCAAACATTTACAAATCGAATTTTTAGTGATCATAGTACTCGTATATAAAAAAATTTCGATATTTCTGAGATGTAAGGCAACAACGCTTGTAACTTATATATGAACTACCTATACTTATGTTAGGTTTAGTGCACATATACGCACTTTAAAAAATTATATAATTCGTTTGTTTACATGTTGTTATGAACTATAGATTTTGACACGTTTCACTCAAAGTTTTTTAATAATCTCAAATTTCTTCAATTAAAAAATTTGCAGCTTACACATATGTAGTTTACATCAAATTTTTTTCAAATGTTAACTTAATTTTATTTATATACATATATATATGTGTATATATAAAATTTTTATTGAAATAACATTTACTTAATAAATTCTAAATACGCATATTGATTCTTTCAATATTTTTTTTGATAATAAAAATTCAATTTGTTCCCGATAATTATAATAAATGTCTGGTAAATTAAACAAATTGATTTACTTACGTAGTAAATAAATTTTATACAAGTGTCAATATGAAAATTAATAATATGAAGTGCAAATAATTTGAAGAAATTTTAAATTTGCAGATTACCTAAAAATCAATTATATTACCTAATATCGTAAATTTGAAAATTATAGGCCAATTTCCAAAAAAAGTTACTTTGTTTGGCTCTATATTATTTCCAAATTTTTTTCACATTGGTTTTGAATGTGGAATTACATGGGCTATAAAATTTCAACCATCACTTTCCCTTAAATACAAATTTATTTGGGCCTTAATTTTAATAAAACATTAAATGTAGGTCTTTCCTTATTTACACCTTTCTACGAAATGACTTTAATCTATTTTATTAGCACTAGTTATAATTCATTTTACAATATTTTATGCTTATCTGAGTAACGTTCAATCAAGTAAATTTGATATGAGTAAATAATTCCTTGAAATTATTGCATTAAATTTCTGGTGGTAATACGTTCAAAATCAGCAGGAACAGGCACTGCAAATCAATGCTATACTTTGAACATTTTAGCGCCCAAAAGAATACCATTTCCTTTAACGTTCAAGTACGAATTTGTGCTATCAATTTCCTAAAAAACTATACACATTATGTCGTCACTTGCCTATAGACAGAAACCATTACTATTACTTCATTATATTTTGGTTCAAATGTTTGGTAAAGTTTTTCTAAATTGCACAAAACTCTTATGACGTTAAAAGGCTTAAGAAAGACCCGCAAAAAAATTATGAGTTTGTAAAACTCTTAACAAAATAGCTTTCAAATCAAATTTCCGAATTCTAAAATTATGTTTCACTTTATTATTAATTTCATGCATAAAAAACTAGCTGTTAATTTTTTTTCTTTTAATTTTAGGGTGGCTGGTGCTATGGGAATTGTTTTTCCATATTTAGGTGAATTTCAACCAACAAAATATCGAGAAAAAATTTTGTGTTGGATGGAATTGTTTTGGGTTGTGGGTATAATTGCTTTACCAGGTAATTTAATTTTAAATTTATTACATAAATAGATTAAAAAAATTTAGAATTTAAAATTTATACTTTGTATAAATTATGTAAACATCTTATGATCATATAATTAGTTTAAAATATATTTACAAAATTAATTAGAATTTGAAAGTAAAAATAAATAAAAATAAAATATACAATGTCATGTCCAAAACATATATATACAAGATTATATACACACTTAAAAAACGTACTCCTTCGTGATATCTTAATCTAAACGATAATTTTTTTTAATATTATTAAACTATTATGGAGCCATTAGTGACAATTGGACCAAGAATGAAGTCTTCATTTATACACAAATACAGAATTTGTTAATATTTGTTACCTATATCATATACATCCGAACAAATACGCATGTTGAACGCAAATACGTTATATGTTATTATTGCTCTTAAATTAGAAGAAGCCGGTCTTTTGAGCTCAAAAAATTTTTATGCAATATATTGTCAATATAGATACATGATTTTAGATTATATACCTAAGGTGTTAATTGATTTTTTGAATTATATGCATATACGTATATAAGTTTTGAAAAAATATTGATTCTTTCAATTAGAATAAATGTCAAAATATTTTCAAAATATCTTAATTTTCATCAAAAATTTTAAAATGTGATCTTTATGTATTTAATTTACATTGTAGAATACAAGAAGGGCGGTATTGATTTTTTTCCTAATTTTCACATATTTCAAGATTTTTCAAAAATGCCAAATTTCTATATTTAAGCGAAATAAAAATTTTGTGATGAAGTATGAATATGATGAATTTAAAAAAAATTGGAAATAAAACGAGAAACAGCAATTGAATACGCACTACAGCGGAACTTTGCATATTTACAGGGGTAAAATGATAAAGTTTTATTGAAATTTAAAATTTGGTCTCAAAATGGAATCCATTGAAAAATTCTTAGATAAAAGCGAGCTGGAGTTTATATAAATCACATTTTTTTTTGAAATTTTATATTTCAAAGTCTTTATTATTAAATTTTTTGAAAAAACCAGATCTACTGTGTTTAATTTCTAATTCAATAAAGATTTAGTACATTGTTCCCCAGACTCGAATATTAAATTGATTTAGTCATCTTCATTAATCTATTTATTTATCTATCTATTTGTTTGTAAGAACAAAAAACTAAGATCTATAGAAGTACCTTATTTGACAAGTTTTCCAAAACTCCAAATAATAGAAAATTAATTTTTTCGAAGTAGTGGATTCCCACAAATTATTCTACAAAGTGTTACAGACGGGTTTGAGAAATTTTTGATTTATTTCAAATTAGAAAAAAAAAACTATACCACATTATTCGTTCACTGAATTCTCAAAATGGTCAACAACCGAAATTCATTTTGGTAGCAGAAAATTATTTTTCAGAAAATTAACGACAAATCCAATCGATCATGTTCTGTTTCTCATCCAATTTTATTTTTATATTTATTTTTTTTGCTCGTTTAAATTCACTCTTGTGATTTTAATATTTAAAAGCATGTGATTAATAGTTAGAAATAACCTTTAAAATTGTAATAAACATGTTATTGAATTTGTATACAAATCTTCCTATAGAAAATACAAATTTCTTTTAAAGTTAATAAACAAAATTTAATGAGATGCTTAAAACATGCGTTATGTTATTTGATCAAAGTAATTTATCATTATGTTTGTAAGTGTTTGTACATAAAATTCAATAGAAAATAGAATAATGCGTCCAATTGAAGATAAATGCCTTTAAAATTATTTATTTTACAATATGGTATGATTTAGATATTATTAAATTATGAATTGGACTAAATTATTTCGATATTTTACACAATTTCAATTGCAATCGAATATGATAGAATTTATTTATGATAAATATTAATTTAAAAGGTTCGATAATAATACATGTATAGTAAAATAAGACTTTATATATATGTATAGTAAAATGAACTTCTTTTATGTATAAAACAAATAAGAACCAAGCTATTGTTCTGTTATACACAATTAATAATTTAATATCGAACACTTTCTTTTCGTTTTAGCGATTGCATGGTTAATTATTCCAGCTAATATAAATTTAGAATCAGGAAATTTTTTTTTCCACAGTTGGAACCTGTTCGTAGCTATTTGTGCAGTTCCAAGGTACATTTTTATGCTTTATATATTCATCTACATTTACACATTTCTTTATTAGTTTCAAACAAAAATTGTAATTAGCTAACATAAAATGATTTTTTTTTTATGATTTTATTTTATAATAGTCTTATACTCGGCATATGGTTATTAGCTTTTCCGGAAAGTCCAAAATTTCTTTTGGAACAAGGGGAACCAGATGAAGCACTTGAAGTTCTAATAAAAATATTTCAACAGAATACAGGAAGAAGCCGTGACGAATATCCAGTAAAAAATCATTTTCTTTTATAAATTATTTTCAAAATTAAAATTTTTTCATTTTTATTCATATTGTTTTAGATAAAAAGCTTAAAAGAACCAAATAAATTACAAGTAGAATTAATAACAAAATTTAAACCAATTAGACAATTAAAACTTAGAAGACCAAAAGAATTAAAAATTCTTTTAGGAGAAGTTTGGCAACAAACAAAAATGTTATGTAAACCGCCACATTTAAAAAATACGGCTGTTACATGTGCTATTCAATTTTGTTTAACTTCGAGGTGAAATTTTATTTTCCTCCTTTTAATTAAAATACAATTTGTTATAGGGTGAATTAATTTTTCTTTTTGCATTTTGTACAGTTACTATACTTTAATGGTTTGGTTTCCAGAATTATTTTCTCGTTTTGAATATTTTGAAAAAGAATTTCCAGATAGATCTGCATCTGTATGTGAAGTTTCAGCTGCAATGTTTGGAAACGAGTAAGTACATAAGTCAATTTGTAATTAGAAAAGCTATTTTGTAAAAGCAGTCATAATTAAAATTGTTCCAAAAACTAAAAATTGCAGAATTATTTAGTTCATTAATGCTGCAATTCTAATGAAGCTACTTTTTCGTTTATGAAATAAGATTTGTTCATTTTTTAATTATTATTTAAATTTATTTATTATTTACGTAGGACTTCAACAATGGATTGCAATTCTCAGGTGGATAATGAAGTATTTTTTCATACATTAATTATTGGTTTAGCTTGCATACCCACAAGTTTCTGGTTACCACTTTGTGTTCACCGGTTGGGAATTAAATTTTTTTTAGGTAAAATATATAAAAATTCTTCAAATAAATACAATAATTTTATGAAAGAATTTTAACTGAAATATAAAAATTATACTTTAATATTCACAGTGTTTAGTTTACTTGCTGCTGGTACAGTTACTGGAGGACTTTACTATGTTAATAATTCTTTACAAAATCTTATATTATCATGTATATTTGAAGCTTTAACATCTTTAAGTATCAGTACTGTTTATTGTGTAATGGTGGATTTGTTTCCAACTAATTTAAGGTACAAAACTAAATATTTTAATATTACAAAATTAAATATAAATTTGGTACAAAAGTAATGTACGTACGGTTTCCCTCCGAAACTAACAATCAAACTAAGTGAAAACTATTTTATTATTGTTTTGTTGAAACAAGATTTTGAAATGAAGGAAAAATCATAAAGAAACAACTCGTATAAACTTAATCAAATTAAACTGAAAAAAAAAAACTGTATGTATTAATGTAGCTTATTAATTGTTGTATAATTCTAAAATTTTTCCACAATTCAGGAAGAATATAATTACACATGCGAAAACAATTGTGTATTAAAAACTTAAATTCCTTAATTTTTGCTGCTTTTGGCAAAATGTAGTCGTCCCGACACGAACAAATTGCAACCCCGTGAATAACGCTTTAACAGCAAAGAATGAGTTTTATTTGTTAAAAACTTAAAGGTAGTTTTCAAGAGCTACCAAATACCAATATTTTTTAAAATTTTTTTTTCATAAGCAAATGTTTCAATTATTTCCAATATAAAATCAAAAATCAATTTTGGAAAAATTTTACAGGAATGCAAGAATGCAAATAATTTTCAAAGTATGCCAATATTCAGTAGTGCAATTTTATTGAAAATTGTATTATTTGCTCCTACACACGGGTCAATATAAAATAAAAACCTATAAAACTTAAAATTGTTCATATATCATGCTTTCTCACAAACATCTAGTTTAGTTTAAATTGTCCCGAGTTAATAACAAGAACCAAGATATAAAAGATTTTCTATTCTCTCTTACTAAAGAAGTTGTATTTGACATTGGATTTGTAAAATATCTAAGTTAGCAAAATGATGCCTATGTTTCCGTATTCTTTAAAAAGAACCATTTTAATAACAAACATACTTTCGATAAAGAAATTTGTTTTATATTGTTCTCTTTTATAACAGAGTAATGGCAGCAGCATTATCAATGACATTTGGCCGCGGAGGAGCGTTAGTCGGGAATCTTTTGTTTGGCTTTTTAATTGATTTGAATTGTGTGGTGCCAATAGTACTATTCGCTGCAATGCTTTTCAGTAAGTTTAATTTTCTTTTTGAATCTACTAAATTCACTATCCAAATTCAATATATTTTTCCAGTAAGCGGATTTTGCTGTTTATTGTTACCAAGTACTGGTGGTCAAGCATTAGATTAAAAAAGAAATGTAGCTGTACCTTTATTAATATTATATAATAATTAAGTGAATAGTATCATAAAGAAATAAAATATATCCTACCTACCTAACATAAACATATACATATTTATAATTAGACTATAAATTATTGTTGTAGTAATATTCAATTTCCAAAATTCAATTAAAATTATATACGTAAAATTGATTTTGATTAGAAATTTAAAATATTACAATTAAATTAATTTTATTTTTAATAGAGTGGAGTATAATTTTTATTTTATATAAATTTTATGTAATTAGCGAATGAAATTTGTAAATAAAATTATGTAGAAAAAATTAGAATAAGGAATGTGATATTTAACATATCATTCAAATTGTGTATAAAATAAAACAAGTAAAAAGACAGTAACGCAAAATATAAAAAAAAACGTGAAAAAAAATGTTAAAATAAAATGAAATAAAAAAAAATTAAATAAAAATTTTTGAATTTTTTTATTCATTTAAATTATTTATATTTATTTAGACTACATAACATATATACATTTATATAAAGGTTCACTTAAAGTGTTCCTGGCATCCTTAAATGTTTTAATTAACTTCGTAAACTAAGTACTCTTGGATTTTTTCAAAAACTAACAACCAAAATTTTGTGAATTAGCTTGACTTATGACAAGTGACAATTATTATAAACAAGAATAGGTAAAGTTTGCTGTGATGTTTCTGTGATAACCGTGCCAATGAAAGATTTTGAAAGAGTGGATAATTACAAAGATTTTTCACACGACCTCTTGTTTTTACCATATTAACTCATACCATATCAAAGATTTTCACTGAGAATAATTACCACATTACTATATTCGTTAGTGCAAAATTTCAAGATAAAAGTGTCAGCAGTATTCATAAAATATAACAAATAATTTGTCAAGTTAAATGACAAGAAGCCGAGAAATTTCAACTAGTTTTGTAAAATACAACAGTGCTAATTAAATTTTTGCTTGTGTGAAATTGCTGTAGCTTCCAAAATTTATGAATTATAACCTATAGTAACATTTAAGGTTTAATGGCAGCTATTCGAAAAATTGCCCGATAGTATACAATTTAAATAGAGTTCTGACACTTAGAGTCCTAGATAATAAATTAATTGCCGAAATTTGGTAAACTTAACCAAATTACTCCATGAGGTATCGATGGAACAGACGGGTATGTCTAAATCGACTCAGAATTTTGATCAAAAACATAAAATTGCGTCTATATCTCAGACCGTTATTTTAAAGTTTTACAAACGAAGAGACAAATTTATAATACCTTCGAACATATGCTCGTACGGATATAGTTATATTGAAATCTCACACTATAAATAATTTTCTTACAGGTTTTGAGTTATCTTCAAGAAATAATATACATTGGACATATCGAAGATATTATTACGAGTATTGTATTTCTTTATCGTTTTACTCGTATTTCAAAATCTAGTAGCTTTTCTAGATTCTGAAATGAATACGTCATAAACCGTAAATAATAAACAAAATATAACAAATGAATTTTTAAAAATGAATGATAAAAAAAAAGAAAAACCCCCGAATTTCGGAGAAGATTTAGGGGCTTCTAATAGATTAAATGAAAATGATACGAATGAGATGAATAAAGAATTTGGTATAAAATTAAAGTGACAATTTGAGCATTGAAATTAATTTCAAATAAAACTTTAATACTTAGATTTGGATCCATTAGATGAATCAGACACAGAATATGAATTAGCTTTGAATGAAACTTTTTTTGGAATATTTAACTACCATATTTTAATATATTGTGGAATAATTTATGCCCATTCAGCGATAGGACTAACATCTTTATCCTTTGTTATGCCAGCTGCTGTTAATGAATTTAATTTATCTTCAACAAAAAAAGGTTTATTAGTTGCAATACCAATGATTGGTATGCTATTCGGATCATACTTTTGGGGTTGCTTAGCATCTACAAAAGGAAGAAAAATAACATTATTTGTCAGTTTACTAATGAATGGAATTTTTGATATATTATCCATTTTTATGCCAAATTACATAAGTTTTACTATTACAAGATTTTTTGTGGGGTTCGCGTAAGTTTTAAATTAATTTTTTTATCTCTCTTTAAGTAATCATTCAAATACATATTTCAGAATATCGGGACCAATGAACATTTGTTTTCCATTTTTAGGTGAATTTCAACCAATTGCATATAGAGAAAACATTTTATGTTGTTTAGAATTTTTTTGGGTTTTAGGAATTGTGATACTACCAGGTTGTTCAAATCAAATTGCATAAATAAATATTATACACATATATGCATACATACATATGTACATATGTATAATAAGGAATAAAAATTCTTTTTCACAGGAATTGCTTATGGAATTATACCAATAAATATTTATTACAAAAGTAAAGGATTCATATTCACCAGTTGGAAACTATACTTGATTATTTGTTCTATTCCAAGGTTAGTTTTGTTATGAGAATTTTTTTAAATCTATGTTCTATTCAAAACGATATTGTGCACTGATCAAATCGAATACAAATATGCAAGTATTGCTCAGTTCGAATTTTAATATCTTATTAATTTTATATGAATGTACTTCATTATAATGGTGTATAACTTGCACAGTTCTATAACTTTCCACCAAATTGAAAATATATTTCCAGATTAATAACACGGCATGTTAAAATTAATATTCAAATCGAATTTGTTCTTATTAGTATTCAATTAAACTTTACTTTTAAAAATTTACGCAGCTTTGTCTTAGCTATTTGGTTAATTTATTTTCCTGAAAGTCCAAAATTTCTAGCTGAACACGATGAAAGGGAATTGAGTTTAGAAATTCTAATGAAAGTTTTTAGAATTAACACGGGCCGTTCAGAAAAGGAATATAAAGTAAGTTTTTAATTTTAATAAATCTATAAATTTCTTTCAACACAAAAAAATTTCTTTAAATCTTTAGAAAATTTTAACATTTTATTGGATTTTGCTTACGCTATGCTTTATCATTTATGCCTCATACGCTTAGACTAAGCAATTATCGAATAACAACTAATATACTTGATAGTGTTTAAAATTGAGATTGGCTTAGTCTTTCATTCAATATTGATTATACAATTTAATTATTTTTTTAATTCACAAGGTTACTGGAGTAAAGAAAATATCTTTTGCATCTGTTCACAAAATTCATAGTCATTTATATGTTACCGTTAAGAAATTGCGTTTATATAAATCGAAAGAATTGAAATTGTTACTTAAAGCGGCTGCTCGTTACACAGGAAAATTATTCTCTGAAAAATATTTATTAAGAACAATATTCTTATTTGGAATACAATTTGGTTTAACATGTAGGTAAGAAATTATTTTAAATTTTCAAAAAATATTCCTAGCTACTTAATATTAAAAATTTTATTTCCATATATATAGTTATTATACATTGATGCTTTGGTTTCCTGAACTTTTTAATCGATATAAAATATTTCATATGATAAAAGGATATTCCAATGTTTCAATCTGTGAAATATCAAAAGAATTAATAAAAAGATCAGATGAAGTTGAGAAAATACAAAGTGAAACAGCAATTGATAATGATGTTTATACTGAAACTTTATACCTTGGACTTGCTTGTCTACCTTTAAGCTTATTATTCCCTTTTATTGTTCATAGAGTTGGATCTAGACTCCTTTTAGGTATAAGAAAATTTTTAAATTACCATTTTTACCTCTATAATTTCTAAACGTTCAATAATTTAAACTTAGTAAATTTTAAATTCCTCATTCCACAAAAACTTCACAGGTATGTCTGGCCTATAATTAGATCACAAGAATGCCCAATTTCACACAGCTAGCATTATTATTTTTTCAAATATTTAATATTAACTTTCAGTAATGTCCGGCAGATACCCGAACCAGTACAGCCAAACCATTAACAATTTTAAAATATATATGAAATATTATTGAATTTAGTAGGTTTTCTTCAGTAACCTCTTTGAGTTGTTTGGTAGTTGCCGAACCTCTTACTCGAACTAATTTAATTACAATACAAAGTTTGATGGTAGTTGTTTCATTCCTTTTTGAGCTATCGTACAATAGAACGAGCCGACGAACAAACAAATTCACATGTAAACAATTCTGAGCAAGAATGCATATATAAACAGGCCTATACCGCAGACGATTCCTTCAAGTGGTTACAAACTCCATAGTAAGTTAATAAATATACCCTTCACTAAGGGGCGAGAAATAAAAAGAATTTGTTCCTGAACAGTATAAAGCATTTTTGACTTTGATTTTTGTATAGGAACGTAAGGGAAAATTAAGCATAATTGATAAATAGTGTGACAGGGAAAAGAAGACGTTTTCAGAAGATACTCGTAAAGTCACGTTTCTTTTTGTGTTAGTAACTCAATTTGAAAAAAAATTAACTTTAGTGGTGCTTGAATACACCGATGTTATAAAATTGCCTTATGTACTGTTAATTTTTTAATTATTTATTTAAGTACCCTTATTATTTTTTTGCATATTTCTGCAGGTAATAATTTTATTTTTATTTATTTAAAGGAATTGGCTTGGCCTTTGATTCATTAGCAGTTTTCTTAATCTTATTTGCTAAAACAGAATTACAAAATTTAATTTTATCATGTGTATTCAAGTTATTGGCATCAATTAGCATTAGTTTACTTTATGCTATCACTGTTGATTTATATTCAGCTAAAATACGGTAAAATTTCTATATATCCTTAATTTTGTTATACTCTTATAATTATACAATGTATATACATATAATATGTTAAATATTAATAATATAGTGGTTTTATTTTACAGAGTTATAGCAGCTGCTTTAGGTATGTCAATTGGTAGATGTGCAGCACTCTTAGGAAATGTTATTTTTGGTTATTTTATTGACACTGTATGTTATCTACCGTTTATAACTTTTGGAATACTACTTTTAAGTATAATTATGAAATTTTTTGTAATTTAATAATAATGTTATATTTGCTTATTTAAAATATTTTACATATGCATAGTCAGTTCAATTTTAACATTTCTTTTACCAACACCCGATCCAAAACTTCATTTTGGAGAAGAAGAACCAAGAATTCACAGGAAAAGATCGTTATTATCTCATTTATAAAAATTGACATTTTTATTTTATAATAAAAATAAAGAATAATACAAATATGTGCTTCTTATTATATTTATTGTTGTTATTATCAATTTAATTAAAAATTTTTTAACAACTTTTCCAACTACTTTATTTAAGAACATGCAAATCTATGTCTTGTGTTTTGGAAATTTTTCAATCCCTTATTCGTATCTTAATATATTATAACTTTACCCTTTAAATGGAATTGATAAACACTGGGAAGGAAAAAAATTTATTTTGTAGTAAAATTAATAATTTTTCAACAACTTTATTTATTAAATGTTTTTTTTTATTTCTGACATTTCTGTATTACAGATTGCATTTTCGAACTCACTTTCTTACAGCGAGTAATTTCCGAACGATTTATGTTATTTTCAATGTGTGTAGCGTACAATTTTCGAACTGCTTCAACTATTCTAAAACTGAATTGACCTGAATTTTGAATTGAACTGAATTGAAAATTGAAAATCTCTAACCTTTACAATTAAAAGCGCCTGAATTAAAATATAATCAATTAAAATGATTACTTACTTAATTTTTTTTCAAAACTTAACTTTCCATTTTCTAAATAAAACAAAATATTTTCAATTTTTTATAATATTAAAGTTCAATTTTTACAACCTTAAATTAATTTTATATATAGATACTATATGCTATTTATGTTGAATGACAAAAAATTGCAATATTGTACATACGAACTGTATACTGGTATATATAAATATTTTAGAACAGTTATGCATTGTATGCATATGTACAGATAATTGCAAATTTTTATAATACGTAAACTATATACATAATATTAAGTAATATACTAATAAGCTAATTACGAAGTCGAAACGCTAGATGGTGAAGAAGGTGATGTACAATTTTTGTTTTCAACACTAAGATTATTAACTGCATTTGTAAAACATAATGGTGTAGTCGCATAATATGCTGGTGTAAATAATGAATATGGATTTAATGCAGATCCTGTTAAATATGAACTCGTATAAAGACCTTGACGTTGAGCAATTTTTAATCTTGATGTTAATTGTTTTTTCCATTTTGTCCGTCTATTTTGAAACCATGTTTTTATTTGAACTTCAGTTAAATTCAAATTTTTTGATAATTCCATTCTTTTACTAACACTTAAATATTTATCCTGTTTAAATTCACTTTCTAAACGTTCTAATTGTTTTGCACTATAAGCTTGGCGTGGTTTTCTATCAACACCTGGTTTACGAAATCGTTTTCCTGGCGGTTTGGGCACTACAAAGTATAAAAGTATAAAAATTTAAAAATATTGTAAATATTTAGAGATTTCTTTTTGTTTTTGAATTATTGGAAATTATTGATTACCTTGTATACCAAACATATAAGCTGGATTTGTTGACTTTGGTTGTACCCAATTGGCATATACAAAACTGGAAGGATGATGATGACCATTAGGAAATTGTAAACCGCTTATTGGATATGTTGAACAAAATTCAGTACGAAATCTTAAATGTAAATCATCTTCATTTGGAGATAATTCGTTTATAATATTTGCTGCCTTTGTACTTAAAAGTTCTAAAACATTGGTTGTATTTGCTGAAATTAAATGAAGAAAAAATTGTGAATGAATACATTTTTCAACAATTGAATTTATTTTTTAAGGAGTGCATTAAAGAGAAAATTTTTCCAAAAACTTTAGAATTGGTTAAATTTTTAATTTTGTTTTAATTAATTTAGTGCTTGATTTTTTTTTTAAATTTAAAGTGTATAAATATCCTTAGGCTAATTTCGCTTCAAAAAGTAATTTGGAATTCTGGCATTTACAATAGTTTTCTGTTGCTAGAAATTCTAAATTACTAAATGCCAGTTTGTTAAATGGGCTTTAAATTCTAAACTATGTTTCACCAGATTCCTAACGACAGGGGGGAATTTACTCCAAGGTCTATGTTGGTAGACGTTTGAATACATTCAATTTGCAATATATATATTTAGTTATTAATTGTTCTTTTTAACTTTAGCAAGATTTTTAAACGAATTGCCTTAGTTTACCTTTAAAAATTTATTTTTCATTTGTTTTTGATTTGATTTGGACTCTATATTGCACGAACCACTTACTCCTTTTTTCTAACTAATTCATCAAAACAATTTGCTATATATATGTAGCACAAAAAGCCGTTGATGAACAATACCAGTAAAAAATAGTACTTTAAAAATCAAGAAGCAAAAATAAAAGCAGAAATGTTGCAACACGACCCTAAATGAGATGGCGATGTTAATTTTTCAACCTCATTTCATTATAATTGAAATGTTGAATTTAAAACTTTTTGGAACCTATTAAATTTCCGAATTTTTTGAAAACTTCATTGTGATATTTTTAACAGAAACACATTCCAGCATTGATATCAGTAATCAATAGCCGGGACTGCAAATAAACAATAAATTACTGAAATTAACTGCGTGCAGTAAAATCATGCATCTGGATCAAAGTCTCTAATTTTTAGCGTTCTCAATTAAAGTTTTTAAAAATCAATATATCAAGGGAAGCGGACATGGCTATAAATCTAATTAAAAAATATATTCTAAGCAAAAATGCACTGTATATTTAATATAGAATTTATTATATTGTATTAGAAAAGCGAACATATGTTGTTCCCATGAAAAACAGTGCATTGTTATTTTTTCAATTTTTTTATATCGACAATAATATGAAGTCCAAAATGAGTAATATCACTTTTCACTTTATGATTTGATTATCAAACAGAATTAATCTGGAATGTTGTAATAGTAAATCTCCCAAAATTTTTGAAAACGTTCGACATTTTCTTCCTATATATTAATTATATGTATATTCAGCAATACATAACCTTATTTTTTCTTTGTCGTACCCGCGGTGGTAAATCAATTTTTTATTATTAAAATTAGCAGAAGACTTGGATGCAATATTATTAAATTCGAATAGTTATTACGATTCTAATTGTTTGAAGTAACAAAGCATAATATACCCCCTAAACCAAATAGGCATGCCTCATTCTTAAATTAATGAATGGAAATGGAATACACAAGAAAAATGTAAAAAATCATAGTAAAACCAATAAATTTTTTAATAAAATAATTTTAACTTATTAGTTTTTCGAGTGATCGAAAACAAACCGTAATATTTTTAAGATGAATATTTAATCTACATGATTTTAGTGAAATATACGTAATATTAACAAGTATATTCACTGCATCGATGGACAAATATCCAGCCGTATAATTGCAATTCTTAACTTGAATCTAATTTAACTATAATGTTTTATATAATATAAACATTAGAAGGGTTAGAAAGAACCTAGAAATAATAAAAGATTTAGTTTTAAATTAATTGTGTTTCAGTAATATCGGTTTAAGAAAAATAAAAAACTGTGCAAATCTTTGCTTGGGAATAAAAACTGAAGTACAATATTTTCCAAAGAGGCAGTTTGAGAAAACTCCTCGGAGTTTCTACATTGTTTTGCAAAATTTGTTCATATTCCTTTAACTTAAGACGCCTTATTACGAGAAATAGAATTTTCAACCAAAAAATTTTCTCAATAAAAAATCAGAATGTTTAATTGCTATAAAATTAAACTTTCTAAAATATTATCAAGTAGTGTTCCTACGCTTTCAAGTCGTCATGCTAGAATGTGCATTAAAAATTATTTTATAGATTTTAAAAAAATAAAAGAAATACATAAGCAAAACTCACAAAAATTAGACTCAAATGATAGCAGTCCGTCGGAAAATTTTCTCTAAATGAAAAAAACTCAACTTTGCAGTCGAAATTAATTTAGATGTTTATAGTTTGGTTTAGTAAATGTTAGAATTAATTTTTATAACACATCATACACCTTCTATTTTATAAACTTTCGAAAATTCTATTTTGTTTTATATTTATTAACGCTTAAGGGTCTCCAGCATTTCAATATCCATAACGTCATCATTTTATCCATTTTTTAGGAAAATTTTTATTTTACTATTGCACAAATTGTGATTTTCTTACTATTTAGTAATTTGTACTTTTACTTAATTAATGCACTTAATGCATAATTCCCGACGAATGGAACATATATAGGTTAGGAAAACAAAATTGAACGTCTTGTTGGTCGAAATATGCAAAAAAAAGTATAGTTTAACGGAAATGCATAGTGAAACATCTTTATTCAACTATGCTGAATGAAAGATAACAGGCCCTAACAACAGAAACATGACTTAGTTCAAAAAAACGAATAAAGGTAGAAAAATTAAATAGTTTTTTTCATCGAGCTGGACTCGCACCAGCTTCATAGACGAAGGTTTTCTTTAGCTATGCACCACCTATAATATACTTATAACTAACATTTATATTAGATTATTGTAAAAAACATTATTGATTTATTTAATTAATTAATAATGCAAAATTAGAGTTTTATCAAAAGATTTTGGGTAAAATAAAGATTTAAGGTAAAATTCTTTATTAGATGACTTGTAAACTTGGATTTTATATAATTATTATGTAATGTGGTAGATCTATTTATAAAAAAATTATTTTTATACCCGTACGAACGTATGTTCGAAGGTACTGGTTCGGGTAGCTGCCATACAGTTTCAAAAGTTGACTATATCTTAGAAACTATGAAAGCTTTGATATTGAAATGTTGCACAAGTGAATATATTAGTAGGGCCAATATGTTTGATAAAAGTCGTTGAAACTGCTTAGCTCCTTCTGGTAGCTGCCATACAACTTCAAAAGTTATTTGGTCATATCTTAGAAAATATTGTAAACACAGTACTGAAATTTTGCATAAATTAATATGGTAACATGACAACTTAAAATCTCTTATAGTCAGCTATGATAGGCACATAGGATAACAAATTCCTACGGACATCACAGAGTTGACACGGTCAACTCTATTTTTTCTGGTGTTTTATATAACATACACATGCACATATGCTTTTATATATGGTGTAAGCCGATTCCTCAGCTGTTCTTTATAACTAATTCCATTCCAACTTCACACTTAAGTAAATTAATTAATTTAAAATTTTTCTCAAATGAAATTGGTATATTAAAATTTAATAATTAATATAAGATAGTAATTATAAAATTATTCCACTCACGATTTCGTATGCTTCCAATAACTGGTGAGATGGCGATTGGTTTGCAGGGTATTGCAACATTATTTTTATTATTATTATTGTTAATATTTTTACTATCATAATTACTAATTTTTTTACTATTAATATCAGACGTTTCTTTATCACTTAAACCTAAAATATTATCAATTGTAAATTTTCTCTTTTTAATAGCATCACTATTTTCAATTTCTTTTGATTCATTATCATTATCATCATTGATTTTATCAAAGCCACTATCTTCATCAACTTTAATTAATTGATCACTTTTTAAATATTGATAATCATTTTCATCATCATCGCATACAATATCTGAACTAGCATCACTATCATTATTATTATAATCATTTTCATCATTGTCATCATCAGGATAATTATTATCATCTTGATCATTAATACCATCAATAGTTTCATTTTCATCATTTTTATCATAACTAATATTATAATTTTTATTTACTATTAAATTTTTATTTTTATTATTTTGGAGATCCATCATAATTATTTATAATTGTATTTAAAAATTTTCTATTACTTTATATAACCGTTTAGTTTGATAGTAATTTAAGAAATGACGCTGACGTCGCTGACCATCAGATAATAAAACCAGCATCAAAAATAATCCAATAATCGTTATAAATAATCTCCGCCCATAATTCTCACCGTTTTAAGTTTAAGTACATGTATATTATGCTATATACACATTGACAATGTGCATAACATTGATTTAATAGAAAATATAATAATGTGTATACATATGTGTATACAAATATATTATCATACGTATTACATACATAAATACGCATATCGTTGATCCTTTTTCATCTTATTAAACTATATGGAATATGGCATTTAAGATATTAAAATGGCTGTTCTCAACATTTTTACTCTTATATTTATATTATATACTTATGTTGAACTTTATATACGTTCAGGTGTTTATGTACATATTTTATAATTGTAACAATTGCATCCATATACATACTTACGTAAATGTTTTTATGAATATAATATTCTCTAACGCCAGAGTATATTGTACGTTGTCTCTCTTTATTGAAATGAGATTATAATAAAGAAAAAATCTCATCTGAAGATTTTTTTTCTGTTTTTTTTTTTTATTTTATTATATTATACCTACATTATTTTATTGCTCCATTATGTTAAATGGTAAAGTGGCTTTAATTGTATAGTTTATCGCTTTGGGATTGGTTAAAATCTTAATAAACTCGCTCTAAGCACTTAAAGAGCTATTAAAAGTACTCATATTTTATTATTCCAATTAGAATGAATTAATAAAAATGACAAGTTTATTTTCGGTATTCATAAAATACAAATACATCCATATGTACATACACATATATTATATAAGTAAATAAGATGTGTAAATTAATATTATATACTCTCTACGAAATATTTTTTAATATTGGAAAATAAAATAAATTATACAAATATTTATAATTCTCTTTATAGGAATACACACATATGGATAAACAGATTTAATGTTCAAAAAAGATTTATATATACATATATTTGTGTATACATTACAAAATATTGTGTTTACAATATTGTGTCTATTCAATGGAATATTTATCGCATATTAAATGTGTGAAATACGTTCATATTGAATTGTATTTTATTGTATAACATAGTAATATGTTGGGACTAAGTACATTATTAAAATTTTATAAATAAATTATCATTGTTATTATTAAAAAAATTATTAAATTTATTTCATTTTCTATATTTAAATGTATACATACATGAATATTATGGATATATGTATGAATATAACACATTTGTAGGCTACATATAACTTTAAATGTATATATAAATTAAAATAAGGTAAGTGCATTTAAAATTTGTACAGATATTGAAGTTGGTTCAATTTATTTGTAATTTTGATATTACATAATTATATACTATATTATAAAGTTTCATTAAATAATTTAATATTTATATTTTTCAAATTATTTAAAATTTTAGACGTAATTTGAGATTGATTTTGAACGTTTCAGACCCTATCAAACATATATATAAAGTGTACTTTTCGTTAGCCAAATTTTAATATTAATGCGACTAGGAAGATTTAAAATATAAAAATATATTGTTATTACAAGGCACACAAGAGGTGTCGTAAAATTTTTTAGATTTGTTCAGCAAGTTTTAGCAAGACGCGACGACGAACACTGTTTCCAAATAAATAATGAATATTGAACTTTTCTCTCATACTCTTTTGGATGGAAAACCTGAAAGGAATAGATACCCTATGCATTGAACCAACGGTTTATAAAAATACGGTTTGGTGACGTATAGTCTCACAAAAATACTTTCTCACATTGTAAATTTTTAATTTGATAAATACATACTTAGTTTAAAATTTAAAATGTGAAGTTTAAATTGTTAACAGTGAGGGTAAAAATCTTAACGGTAAGGTTTGAAGTTTAAACTTAAAAGTTTAAAAATTTAAGTTTTTTAATATTCAAATTTTGAACCACGAGTTTTAAAAGTAAACTTACAAAGTTAAAAACAAAATTTTTATAAGATTTTAAATTTAAAATTCAAAAACTTGTAATTTGAATTAAAACTTTCAGTAAATAAGTAAGTCAATAATTTTTAGAGGAGTTTGAATTTTAAACTAATAAATTTAATGTTTAACCCAAAAGGTTTAATTCAAACTCTGCATTTTTTATTGTGTATAGCATTTTTTTTTCAATTAATGATTATTCTTAATTTTCTTCTAATCTTTTTAGTTTTGACTTTGTTAAATTTTGAAAAAATAAAATTCTATAAAAAGAAATCAATTCAATAATAATTTCCATACTACGAGTACTCATCATGAATTTAAAACTAAGACCGCATATGTATGTATATATATTTTAATCGATTTAAGAATTGCAATAAAATTAAATTTGGAATCTTTTATACAATTTAAAAAAATTAATTGCATTTGAAAATATCAAAAATATTTTCAATTTCTCTAAAATATTTTCAAAAATTCATAAGTTAAAATAAAAAATTTGTATGAAATATAAGGTGCGACAAAAACAAAAAATTCAATTACAAATACACAATCCTAATTAAGTAAATACAAAAAGACCTAGATCAATAAATATATTGGTTATAATCTAATAAGTCGTTTCTTACCTTCTCAAGGAGCTAAAAGTCAACATCAAAATAATGATTTTAAAAATTTAACCTATAGTGCTTAAACAAAAACATTTTACAACAATATAAACACATGTAACAGTTTAACAATTTATAATACCAATGTATCTATGTAGCAGCAGTTTTCGTTAAAATCCTATGTTTCCTAAATTTTTAAATATTCAAATTTGTAAATTCATTTACATACGTTATATACATAAATATGTATGTAAATAAAAGTATAAATTTTATATTTAAGTTATTTGTGAAATGCACATATTACATCCGCATATTTACATAAGCATGTATGTACTCACATATTGTACACATTATATATACACATCCATCACAATTATTGTAAACGCTAGCGAAATATTTACAAAAGTATTTAGTAAGTTATTTAAACGGAAAATCACACCGTTTCAAATTGTTCATGATTAGTTTTAAAAGCGTATTATCACAAGGTGTGATATAGTGGAAACCTCATCATTTTGTTTAAACTATATTATTGTTAAATTTTTTCTTTTTTGTTTTATGCTTTTATTTCTTTTCAAATATTGTTTTTATTTGAACTCGTGTATTTTCTTACAAGGTACACCCGTCCAGAGTTTATGTGCGAATATTAATATTTAATCTAGAAGAAATAGAAAGTGACTGACACTTTTTTTATTAACACCGATCATACCCCGGCATAGTTAATTTTTAGAGCCGAAGAGTAACATTCAAATAGTTCAAGAAAAGAATTTTTTTTTTAGTTTTTTAAACTCGTGTCTTTGGCTAACTGCTAACTGCTAAGCCATCCTTTCATTCGAAAATTGTATAAAAAATTTTCTTGTTCTTTATTCAATAATTTGCAAAATAAATTTTACTGCATTTTACGTATTGCTATTAATACTCACATTTTTATTTATAAATAAATTTTTTATATTTATCGTGCCTGTGCAAGTTGCCGAAAAGGCTTTATTTTAAAATAAATGTTTCAATTCTTTTCACAACTTAAATCTAGGTTACTTTACAATAGGGATAATACTCAAATTATTAGATAGTTCCCGTTTCTCGTTTCAAAATAATTATAAAAATGATATAATGAAAAAAATTTTTTATAGTTCTATCGAATTTATATGGAATTTATTTCCACAGTATTTTATCATTTCCGTACTCTATAACTGTATCAGAATCAAAATTTCTGAAGTAATCTATTTAAGAAGCCCCCCACCATAACGGGAAACACTCTATATTTTTGTAGTTAGTCTTTTAAATTAATTTTTTTTTAATTTTACTTACTGCGATTGTAAACTGATGATTTTGATGAATGTAGAAATTCATTCGGTTAAAATAGCTTTTAAACAACTTGTGTGGTAAATGAATATTTAAAAATTTATATTTAATGTTAAATTAACATAAACAAATTAAAAATGATAAATTTTGCATGATATTGGTTATTAGAGTTTTTTTACTATTGTTGAACGTTTGGATTTGCGGTCTTTTATTCGAGATTCACGTATATACAAACATAAGCATTTTGTCGTGGCTTTTTGTCGCTTTTTTGAGTAGAATTCCTTCAATTTGTTAATCTTACAGGACGGAACTTGTTAGTCTCATCTTTTATTGTAAGTCTCATCTGTTATTATAATTACACAGTTTATCAAAATAAAATAATAGAAAATATTAGCGAAAAATTTATAATTTTGTCAGAACAGAATCCCGTAAAATGTATAAATTTCACTACTTTATCAGATTGTTAGGCCTTTAATGAAGAATGATAGTTGTAAAATAATAAATAGTAATTGCGAATATTACCAGTCCACATATATCAAATTACATACAATAGCCAAATTACATACAAAATTAATTTTACTTTATTAAACGTTGAATAAATATACAAATTCATTTTATTAAGTGCAAAAACAAGATAACAGTTTTTCAAATGACAATTTCAATGTTGTTGATTCCTTTTTTGTTCTTTAATATAGGGTATATATTAAAGTTTTATTCAAGCCTGCTCTTTACTAAAGGATATATTAACTTTAGTGTAGAGTTTGTAACCACTTTGCTTCTAAAATATATAATAAAGTTCTGCTGTGATTTACACATGTCCGTTCCTCCGATCGCACGATAGCTTGAAAATCAACAAATAAAACACCCCAAAACTCTTTTAAATTGTTTATTTTGTGCCAAAAGCAGCTGCTATTGTAATTAAATAAATTAAGAAAACGGATGCCCCACAACTCAAGGAGATTATTTTGAATATTTCAAAACCTATAACAAAAATATTAGTACAAAATTTTGTAAGGGTGTGTCCAACAACATTTTACATATATCATGAAAATATTAACGGAATGGTCTCTCTGGCTCGGCTAGTCAAAAACAAATTTTTATAGCCAGAGTACTCGTATCAATATGCGGTGTATTATTGCAGGTTTATATCGACTGAAACGTTTTGTTCGAGCAATAAAACATAAAAGTTTATAAGCTTTTAAACTTGTTAAGAGAAAATTGGTTTGATTATAAATCAGTTCCACACCATTGTCTTTTAGAATAAAATATCGCACGCAAAGCTATAACTACAAAATATAGAAAGAAACAGAAATTATTTTACTACTTATTAAGAGGAAAAAATTTAAAAATCAAATGGAAATTTATTTCTAATCGTTTCAAAATTCCCTTTTTGGAAATGCCTTAAAGAAATTGGTAACACATATTACCCTGAATATTTTATGAATTTGTTTTTTATTTAAATCACTTACCACTTTTGTAATTGATTCTTTATTTCGATATCTTATTATGGGGTTCGAATATAATGTACATAATTACTTAATTGATTATCAGTTGATTAATGAAATCTTTTGAAATTTTTTTTATTATTTATAAATGAATAAAATTATCTCAGTTTTCATGTTTTACAACAATTAATGATTTTATTTTATTGTGAAAAAATAGTAAGAACCATAGAACAGTTTCTGAGCAGTAAATTTAATTGTCTAATTTCAGACATAGTATATAAAATTTAAATATTTATAATTATGATGCGAACATATCATTTTTTGGTTCTCATTTTCAGAAAGAAATGAACTGAGATAATAAAATTCAGAGTTCAGGATATTATACTTTATGGTAGTATACTGATATATCGCAAAAATTGACAACCCGTGGCATAATAACATACAAGTGCTCACATAAATAGATCGGCACACCGACATCTTGTTGCAAATAGATTATTTACATTTCCCTCTCATAAAGAAATGCATTTCTGTTGAAAATTCGACATTAGAAATTTGGAGCCATCATGACCTTCTTTAATTGAATGTAATGCGGTCGGGTATATGAAATAAGGTATGATAATGTATGATAAGGTATATTAGATACGACTCAAAATTCAATTTTTTCAATTTCGAAAAAAGACTCATACGGAATTTATAGAGAAAACAAATTGTTTTTATGATAAGCGATAGTCAAATTTGTACAATATGAAACTCAATCCTAAAATTACAAAAATAAATCGAAATATAAAAGGAAAATATTAAAGAAAAATTAAAATAATATAAAAAATTAAAGATTTTTAACATCTATTAGGTCTTAAATCCTTTGAAAAAGTGAATCCTTTGTATACTGAAGGGGCACCAAAATATAAAAAGCCAAAATACTCAATATTCATGCATATAAAAATTACTTTGCCATGAATGCATTTATAACCACTTCTAATACATTTTCCAAGAATTTAAACAAAATTGTAAACTATATTAATTTTCTATTAGAGTTTTCTTTTCATATACATGCACCAAATAAGAGCTTATAGAAAGAAAGTGTAAAAGTAGGTTGCACACTAATTATTAAATTAATAAAATTAAACACTATATAACCTCTACTTAATTCAGATTAATATAAAATCTTTCAAAATCCTAGAGAAGATATCAAACAAAAAAAAAACCAAATAGAAATAGCATAAAAAGGATGAATTACAATTCTCACTCCCTATATACCTATATATATGCTAAGAAGAAATTTCGTGTCAACAACACTCAATTACAAAAATCTAACACCAATAGAAATACCAAATAGTATAATAATGTTAATAACAATAAAAAAATAATAAACATAATAGTAATAATAGCCCATCATCGTTTCATCTTAAAATTTCAACATGTTATGCTACCACAGATTTCTTAAATATAATCTACACTCCATATATATAAACACTGTGTTTGTAATAAATATAAAAGAAAATTTGACACGGACCATAATATCAGAAAAAGTATATAAAGAACAAGAATAAAAATGAAAATATGAAAGAAAAAATTTACGCTAAGGTATGATGCAATTAATATCTTCTCCGCATATCCTTTTTTTTTTATAAATATACATTTTCACTTTATCGAAATCATATTAAATTTGTTTTTTCTTTTTACACTATAATATTTATTCTGTATTATATTCACCGTCTGGTTCACTTTTATTTACATATGCTTTTTAAGGATTATATGATCTAAAAGTCGCGCTGCTCTGCATTCATAATATTTAGTTTATTATATGAAATAATATTTAAGTATTCAAGTTACTTAAGAATTTAATTGAATGAAATAAAAATTTTTCAAATAGATCTTAACGTGAAGTACGGAAATTTGTATAAAAATTATTTACTTAGTATACTTGTTTTAAAACTATTAATTTGAAGTGGTCTAAATAAGAAGTAAGTTCATTTATTTTTAAAAAATATTAAAAGAGTTCAATAAAGTGCATTTGGTATATATTAAAACTCAAAAATTTTACTACATAGGATAATTAATATCTTAAAATTTGACAATTTTATTCTCAATTTTTTCAATTAATACTAATATGAAAATTCAAAGCAAATTTGAACCTATACACACATACAACAAAGATTTATGCAACCAATAATCTTTTTGCAGAGATTCTATTGAAAAACTCATGAAACATGTCCACATAATTTTAGTGCAAGTAAATGTAACCCATGCATATGAATAATGAATAATTTACATTATATACTAATTTTATAATAATAGGCCAATTGATATTACAATATCATTTTTGCTATGGAGAAAGTTAATATTAATGTTTCTTTTATACAAATTGAAAGGAATCATAAAAATATGTCGTGTTTAATAGAATATAAATATATCTTAAGTAGATATTTTCATATAATATTTATACTGGTATGATACCAAGTACAAAATACACCATAAACATGACCAGATGTTAAATTTCACAGGATTTAATTTTATCATCTAGTTATAAACTACGTATATATACATACATATTTATATGTGTATGCACATACTCGTATATTGTAAAGTATGTATATAAATAAAAATTTAGTATATATAAATGTGTATGTTATAATTTTACAAGGAACGTATTATCCTGCATACTTATATACATAACACAAAATGAAATTAATATTTTATCGAACTTATAATTTTAAAATAAAATTTATGAAGATGTATATAGGAAACATATAATGTATTATATAAACATATGAAATTTTATATTTCATAAATTATATAAATATATGAAATATATATGAATAATATTGCACGTCCTTTATAATAATTATTAGTTCAGTTAAATAATTAATTATTTATCTTAAAAAATTATCGATTATATACATTTATATACAATTTTACTTTGCATACAAGGAAAAATTGTATTCGAGCTCAATTTAGTGATATATTCTTATGCAACATTAAAACTGCATTTACTTGAATTTCTTATACTGTCTGATTGAATATCTGTATGTCTGTCATATGAAATATATGACCTATCGCATTTCTGGGGTTATCAATAAAAACGTAAAAATTAGACGGTTTTCAAATATTCCAACTTTGAGGTCCGATAACTAGGGAAAGAGAGCCCAAGTAAAAAGTCAATGGGTGTTTTTGTTCGTCTAAAATCATTCTATCACCCTACTTCGGGAGTGCCATTGAGTCTTGTATATATGGGAAACATTTAGGTTTAAAATGCGCATTATCATTCTATATAAAAATAGTACTGAATTCCAAATAATCTTAAGGCAACTTATTGAGATAAAGTTTAACGAATAATGTGAATTATTCCCAAATATAATCCAGGTTTATGTACATTTACATTAATTTTTATCAAAACAAATCCGCAAAAAACTTTCTACTTTTACTACTTTTGTAAAGTTTAGAGAATATTCGTCAAACTGAAAATATATGCTTCCCTTAATATGTAATTATATGTTCTTGCTTTTATAATTTTTCTATTACAAACTGTATCAGAGGTAATAAAAAATAATTCACATAGCAACACTGAGAAAAATGGACTAAAAATTATTAGATATATTTATTGAATAGATTAAAAGTTAAATTATATTTATTTTTGAATTTCTCTGATTCCATATCAAATTCCACTCGATTTGGTATAGACATTTGGCAATTTAGTGGCTTAAAAAATATATTTACTGTAAAATTAAGTAAAATTACTGTAATCAAATTAGTAATTTAATTACTATATAGTGGTAGAGTATGATGAGTATTTTATGGTTTTACTCTGAAAGTGTAAAATATTTTTATATGAGAGTGAAAGTTACTTCGGACAGATTATATATTATACTCTTTCATATGAAATATTTTTAATAAAAAGTTTACTCTGATTAAGGAATTATTGACGATCGTAAAACATTTTGCTATCACCGAATTTTGTTATACTTTTCTTATCACTCTTTGAAGGCATATTTCTTCCGTCCATTATTGTACTTTTATGTATTTATTCTATTATGTTTGGCGTAATGTTTGTTCATAAGATTAACTTATGTTAATACAATTAAGCTTTATAGAGACTATTAACACCTGAATTTTTATTGTTAAAAAACAGTTTCTATTAAGTTCATAAAGGCTTAAACTGCACAAAAAAATTATGTATAACTTTCCTATATTTCTATAAAAAATGTCGCAGTTACTCATAGCTAAGCGTTGTGATCAAGTTTTATATGTTTATTGTTATATGCACACACAATTATTCCATTTTTGCAAACGTCGAAAATTTTATATTTCTGATGATATTCCAATCAATGTTTCGGGGTCTCTGTATTATGTTTTCAATTAAAAAAGTCAATTAGACTTAGCACATAATTTGTAACATTAAGTATTTCGTAACATTAAATATTTATGTAAAATTCGACAAATTTGTTTCCAATGTTAAAGTCAAAATTGTGCAATGGATTCTATAATCTTTTGGACCCTTATTTTAAATTTTAAAAAAAGTTAATATGGCTTCAAAAACGTAGAGTTTAATGGCTTAAAAAAAATTCATTTTTGGAAATTTATTTCAAAGAAATTTGTTCGCTAATTGCGATTACAAACAAGGCACAAAAAAGATTTGTCTAAACACTTAAAATTAGCCCTATACTTTCCATAAAAATGTGTTGGTTCATTCTCTTAACAAACAGTGTCAAAATTTCAATGAAATCTTACGTTTTTTAATAAATTTTAATAACAAGTTGAAAAACCGATATGTAAAATTTTTATATCAACAGTTTAAATTACACACATTTATAATTTTCGTGAATACTTTTGAATATTCGACATAAAAAACGTTAACACGTTTTACTAACACCTCTCATATTAATTCTTTCTATATAAATAAGCGTGCAAATCAGAGCATTTAATTAATTTCGTTACGTACCATAATTTTTCTATATCGTTCTTCTTAAACTTCCATAAAAATACTTAATTCAAATGTCTATTAAACTTAAATGCTTAACAAGTATCTTTCTTAAAATTTTATAAAATTGAAACAAAAGCAAAAATCACTGAAATAGAAAAATAAATTTCTCCATAAAATAAATCTGCAAAAATTGTCACTTCATATGTCTTCACAGTTTTCGATTTTAAGTCAGCTAGTATGCACACAAAATATTTCTAAAGTTTTATTTGATTTTGTAAAAAATATGTGGAGTACTTCAAAAATTGTTTTTATAATTTTCTACAATACCTTAATAATTACTTTAATAAAAGGACAAACATTTAACTTGGATCTGAATGATATTTTAAATGACAAACTAATGCCAGCAACATTACTATTGCAACCATTCGCAAAAGGCTCTAATATTACAAGAAAACATTTTTATTCTATTGTTAAAGATAATGGAACATCAAGTATGAATGATGCTCTTAATGTAATGAAATTTCATAGGTATGTTTAATTACAACTCGAATTTCGTGAAATTTCTCTTAAAACTTTCAATTTAAAAGTGTAGTTTAATTAATAATTTTGTATAATGGTACTTTTTATTTGCTTTATCACATAATCAAGATCTAAGATGAATGAATATATGGCAAGCAATTTTATTGCAAAGCAAATATTATCAACTTTAGCCTTAAATCCAGCTCGAATGCAAAGACGTCTTGGTATTGCCACAGAGGAATTATCACCAGGTTGTAAGTAACATTATATTGTCTGACGATATTTCATTAAACCACTATGATATTAAAAAAAAAACAGATGATGAAAATGCGAATTTATACAACCAAATTAAATTTCCGACAATATCTGGACCCAATAGTCTTTTATATGATGTTGGCTCAACAGGATACAAGAATTGGCTTGAAAAGTACAACATGTTTGAATTTAATGAAATTTATGAATAAAAATTATAAATTATTTATTTTTAATACTTCAACTACTATTTAGGACAACAACCTTGGAAAATATTCATCAACAGTTCGCATTAAATTCTTCATTCCCTGGGCAATTATATGGAGTATCACCTCAAATCGTACAACCACCAGTGAGTTTTAAGAAAAGAAACAGAAATGGATCAGCATCTTCGGACGAAACTGAAGAAAATAATGATGAAAATGAATACGAAGAAGATGAAGTACCTAGTTATTTATATCCAAAACAAAATGTAATGAAAATTTTAACGAAAGTTTTTTTTTTAAATAAAAATTTAATTAATATAATAGAAAATAATTAGAATATCTAATATTGTTGTAATTATCATGCACAACCATATTTCTCTTACATTGTAGATTATTCAACCTACGACTTCGTCGATTACGAATCCAAATTTGCATTATATTAATTATCAAAATACTTATCCTAATGCTCAGCAAGTAAATTATGCTCCACAAAATCCATCAACTAATTATGTTTACACATATCACAAACAACAAACACCATCCCCACCACATCATTCTATTGTTGTACCAATTGCAACTCATAGCCATGCACCTACAGGATCAAATGATTATGACAATGGATATCGGAAATTTCCACCTCAGCCTATACCAACAGCTAAAAGTAAAAGTGGTAAGAAAAACTATCTTTATATATGATCTCTTTTTACATTCATCTCTATTTTTTTATAAATCTTTACAGTTTTCATAAATTTTTTTTTGAAATTTGCATAAGACTTCAAACTTTAGCTATTATGAAACCAGAAATAAAAGGCCTGATTGACAAAAAAACGATTTCTTTTCTCTCAATTTAAAATTTGATATTTTAAGAGAACAATTTCATTTTTTTATTTAACTGGTCTAAATTTTTGGACGATATACACGCTCTTAAAATTTATATTTCCAGTTTAGGTACGCAAGTCGTTTGGCATTCACTTTGCACTGCTCAAAATCAGTAACACTTTTTAAAATAAATGTGTTCTTAGCAATTCTTAGCGTACTAATAAGATTTACTTGAATAATTGATCGAATAATTCACTTATTTTAATCTGTACTTTTTAAAAACGATATGTATGTTGTATAGGTTTCAATTGCTCTTAATTTCACTTTTGCAAAATCTATACTAAATTTGCTCAATCTATAATAATATAACTCAAAGCAATACTGTTGATTTAACTAGTAAAATTTGAAATATGGGAGTTTTAAAGGTCAATATGACTAAAATATATATACAAACATGGACCAATTAATTAATTATAGCCTTGTTCTAATAATCTGGTTCCATAATCAAAGTTTTTTTTTGCACATAATTTAAAATTTATTTACATACTTTGTTTTTTAAAAATATAAGATTTTCAAATTTAAAAATTTTTTAGTTATTTATTTTCAAAATTCCGATTCTGTTGTAAATGAAAATGTACAAAAAGATTCTAAAAAAAATGCAGTTCGTCAACTCTCTAACCAAAATTATGACGTACCTCAGTCATCAACTGGAAAGCTGGGGCATCATGAAAGCAAAGTAAAACAAGGTCTTCAATATTTTGGATTATTATGTTTTGGAATAACAATTGCAAAATTCAAAATTATAAAATCAAATTTAAACAAAATCTATATGACGAATATAGATGTAAACATACATAATATGTTTTGTTTAACTTTGCCAGCAAATTTACAATCAAATATTACAGGATATTGTATCCTGTAATATAGTGATTTAATAATAAAGTGATTTAAGCATATTTCGGGGTTGGGAAAAATATTTATTATTTTGTAAATACTTACTCATATATTTTAATTAAAAATTTTGAAAGTTTTCGACATACATACTTACATAATATGTTCATGTTATACATTATGTATGTATGTATATATATAAAGTGCATGTCATTATATAAAAATGAAATTGTAAATGTTTTTAATTTTCATTTTACAGCGTTGTTTTGAATTAAATTGAGTTTTAAATTACAAAAAAAAATTCTTCTTTCAAAAACAGGATATTACGGGCCAACATCTCATGAACATTACGAACAAGTAGAACATCACTATCCCATTGAAAATAATGATAAAAAAGAAATTAATCTCAAAGGTAATAATCCACTTTACATTTTATTTTTAAAAAAAGAACTACTCAAACTGAATTTTTTTTCTTTTATTATAAGATGTTTTGGATATTGCTTTAACAACATTAGCTTTCCTTTCTTTCGGCATGTTTATACTTCAAGTTCTTATGTGTATTACGATGGTAAGTACGAATATTTTAAAATTTAAATTTTACCTACATACATACATACATACACATTCGTAGATTCGTAGATTCTAAGGGAACCGAGTGGGACAGGAGCATCCCCCCAAGCCACCGCAGCCATTTTTGACTTATTGTAGCCACCCCACTCTCCCGTCTATAATATCCCCGTCCCAATCACAAAGCCGGCGATATCCCTAAGGGAGTTGGACAATAGTTCCCGAACACTTAGGGACCCATGTCCAAGACAATTGCGGCGCCGAACAGCCAGTGCCGGACAGTCGCAGAGAATGTGCACGGCGGTCTCATCGCCACCCCCACAAAATCTGCACAGGGGGGAGCCCGACTTCCCCAGCCTGTGCAGGTGGTATTTCACCGGGCAGTGCCCCGTGAAGAAATTCGCAATAGTGCGAACCCGGCCCCTGCTCATCCCCAGCAACTCCGCAGCGAATCCGCCGGAGCACGCCGGAACAAACACCTTCGCATGACGGCACCCCTTCGTGTCCCGCCAGTGACGACTGCATTCCGCCGCGAGTAGGCAGGCAAGCCTGGCCCCCACGGCGGAAGAAGGCAGACCACAGAAAGGCAGCGGCTGCACAAAGGCAGCCCCAGATCCCCTCCGCGCCAACTCATCGGCAACTTCGTTGCCCGCATGGCCACTATGGCCCGGCACCCAAATGAGCATCACTCTGTTTTCCAATGCCAATTCCATAAGTGCAGCAAGGCAGCTCCAGACCAGCTTGGACGTAACCTGAGCTGAACGGAGCGCCAGCAGCGCAGCCCTGCTGTCTGAGAACACATAGATGGTGCGG